ACCGAATACTCTCTTCAGAAATTGTTATTATTATTATTATTATTATTATTATTATTATTATTATAAGCAATATCTAGTTCGGGTTGTGCGTGGTAGAATTCAAAATGCAATAAAAGGATGACTACAATAATACGAATAATAAATTTAATTGATTGTTATAAGTAGATATGTAAAAAAAACATTAGGTACACTTTATTTACGAACGTTTTGGCCGCGACCACATAGTCGAATTACTATATTATACTAATAATTATATTATAGCGTTGAACAGTTTAAATAAAACACTCAAGTAGTTACCTACGATATGGTTGTGGTCACAGTCACGTAGTCAAAAAATTTCTATTAAGGAGCCAACAGTTTTAGGTCCCTGTATCATTTTCCATAATTTGTTTTCTTTGAGAAACTTGCAGAGCCTGTCGTAGGCTCTATTCAACACTGTTTTCCATTTAATATTATGTTTTCTATGAATAGATCTTATATTTAACTTTAAGATAACGTTTTCTACGAATATAAAATTTAATACAATTATGATATATCTATGTATAACCATAAGTTATAAAATAAATTGTAATATCGAATATTTATGGGAAAAGGTTTATTTAATGTGATTGAATATAGCGTGTTTTTGATACGTAATAAAAAATATTTGTAGTTTTATAAATTTTGGGGAGGCTAGTCATAGGCCGGAGTAAATTTAAAGGGCCCGGCCCACCTAACCCCACCTGGTTACATGCCTGTATAGTCAACCATAGTATTGCGTGCGATACATTTTATCAGAGAAAGCTATTTTTTATGAAAAAGAATTTACAATTTTTTCTTTTATTCTTATTAATGCATGGAATTTATTAATTCTTATTAATATAAATATTCCTTTTTTTTTTTTGTGAAAGCTTTTTGGATTTATAATCTACGTCATTTTGCTGGTGTGCATAAAAAAATTATACAAGAAAAATAACAATTTAAATGAAATAATAAAAAATCTGAATAATGATAATTATATTTTTATGAAGACACTACATGAGAATTAAGGATTATTTGGTTTCACTTCGCTATTTCATTGCAATCTATTTTTTTTTTTTATTGTATGGAAATTATTAAACCTTTTTTAAAACCTAATACAAGATTTATATATGACTTTTGAAAACATAATAAAATTAAAATTTTCATAATAATTTTTCAGTATTTTGATCGTTAGATTGGTAAATTTTTTTATAAAGATTTAAGATATTAGTTTGCAAAACTACAAACAATATATATAAAAAAACAATTATCTCTAAATTATAAAATGTTATTAAATTAAATTTTAATTTAAATTTTAAATTAAAAAATACTTCTGATGTAAAATAATATTAATAATATTCACTCTACTCAATCTAGTGTTAATTCGATAATTGATAAAAATAGATATCCCATATATACAACGCATTATTCTTATTTTACGTATTGATTGACTATTGGTAAATTGGAACAAGTTTTATTTAAATTTCATAAAACTATATAAAAACATGAAAACGTACTTTTACTACCTATTCAATTTATAATCATATTTAAATCGAATGATACTATAAAGATTTATATTTTAAAATTATTTTTAAATATTTATTTATTTAGAACATACAAATGCATGTTTATTATAATAATAATTAAATAATATTTTAATTATTATAACAGCAGTAATATTTTCCAACTGCACTGAAATAGTTTTGTTTTAAACATTTGAAAAATTATGATACTGTAGACCTTTAAAAATTATAATTTTCTTACGCCTATCTGTGAATATTTTAATGTATTTTTAATATTGTTTGGAATCTGTATACCTTCATTCAATTATTTTTAAGATGATAAAAATTATAAATCTACTTCTTTGAAATTTCTACCTAATACTTCGGTATACTAAAAGCGAATAAAGTTTTAAAGTTTTATTTTAAAACTTATTTTCATTATTATAACAGTTAAAATTATTTTTGTAAAATCTATTCACATATTTTCTACTCTTTAAAATCGTTTAGTTAGAACCAGATTAAAACTAATTATAAATGATGTGTTTTTTTTTCGTACATGGAATATATTAAAAAAAAAATAATAAATATTGGCGGGGGAATTATTTGGTAGAGATATTTTAAACTTACAAATTACTAAATTAATTGAATAATACAGACAAAATGTTAATTTCTCTATTAAATAGCATTTAATTGTAATATGAACAGAGAGAAAGTATATTATTGGCTATTAAACACTGTTCTAATATTTAATAATATAAAATTAATGATCGTTTATCATTCAATTCAAGTACCAATACAAATCATGATTCAAATATATTTACTTATTTCTACTAATGATAATTACAATTGTATTTGAATACTAGACTATGATTTGTACAGTTAGAAAAAAAATGATAAGTGGATCTAGCAGTTGACAGTGGGCGACAGTAATCTGCTGTAGTACCTGTATGGTGCAGTTTTTCTGGACTGTTATAAAGTTAGATACATTCATAAAATGAAAAACAATTAACTTTAATGAGTTTTGTCAAGATGTATATAGACTAGACTTCCAAATATAGATATGCAAAGCATTTGTTGAAAATCCAATGAAAAAGAGATATTTTTCTAGTGGTGTATAAATTGAAAAGTTGTGTTTATTGATGAATCATAGTTGTCAGAGAAAGAAATGGACAAGCGCGCATACATAATACGCACATAGCTCAAGTACAGTCTTATTAGGTCATAAAAATAATTAAGAGGAAATTTTTTTTTATGAATTTTCTTCGTAATATATTTTAAAATTTAGAATGGTCATTAATGAATTAGAAAATTTACTGCGAGAAAAAAAACTGTGGATATAAAATTTATCTATTTAATAAAATTAAAAAACCATCTAGTTATATAATATTACTGATCGTTAAATATTTTATTTGGTTTTTTAATTCACACCTGAGATTTGTACTCAGAATTACGTTACTTACATGTTAAAATTTTATAAAATGTATTATTTTTTGGAAATAAAACAACAAAATCCGGTATTATTATCAAAATTAACAATGAATACCATGCAATACATACATGGCACGTATGGAACTATTTAATTTTTTAATCTTATTCGTAAGCTATTGAACACATTAATAATATCTATTATAATGCTTGAAATGTACGTGACGTCGATTATAGTGATATCGAAGGACAACTATTTAATGTAGTAGCTAATCCAACCAAAAATTTGTCCAACAAGACAATAACAATTCCGATTATTTTTTAATTTGCCTAAGCTGCATAATTCACGTTTGAAATTTGTAAAATTAATTTTTTTTTTTTTTAATAAATATAGTTTTCTCTAAAAATACCGTTAAAAAAAATGGGACAACTACATATTTGTACCAATATTTATTTTTATACTTGAAGTAGAATAAATAGACTATACTTTAATCTTATAAAAATCTTTGGAAAGTAAATTTAATTTGAACACTTTTTATGTTTACGTATTAAAGAAGTAAATTTTCATTTTCAAGTAGAATTTATGTATACGATATAAATACATATTTTGACCAAATCAATTATTTTTGCTTCTATATGATTTTGTTTCACATAATTTAAAATATATTTGTATGTAGTCAAACAATATACGAATATACAATGTGTACATATATTTAGTTTAACATTTTGAAAATTTTTCATTTCATTAATTTGATTATTGGATCTTCATAGTATTTTAGCCTTGTATTCCGTTGGACCGTTCATCGTTTAATGAACATTTTGGAATAACGTAACCTAAGCATACGCATCGCTGTCTGTTAGATCTAACATTACACGAACAAATTGTTATACAATTATTAAATAACATATAGCGCAACTTAAATATAACCGTTTACGTATTGTCGTATACGTATTATTAGCGGATTTACACGGACGGTAGATGAATAACAACATATAATTTTATAGAAATCATAAAAATTTGTTCTTTGAATTCGGATAATGGAATTTCGTTTGACAAAAAATAGAAAATTTTTTCGTAATATGTGTTGCGATTGCTGCTTGTCGTAGTTGTGTCACTGCTGCATAAACTTGTGCGGAGTAATTTGTTTTCAAAATTTACCCGCGAAACAAATGCCGAACCGCGACAATCATCGTTTGGAAACATATCAAGAAAGACTTGCGATTGACCTTTTATACGGAGGTACGAATCAGAATAATTTTCTACCGGTAACTCAGCTTTCACAAAACGCCAAATACACTTGTACCTTACATACTCGTTTTCGACTAGTTTCTTGAATTTAGCGCTTCGCTCATATCGACGGGATATGGATAGGAACTGTGCGCGGCGAATATGTAGTAGTGCGCAAACACACGTGCACCATAAAATCTATTTATACGTAAATATGTGTGTGCGTGCGTGTGTACAGTAGACCCGCCACCTTTCGGTCATGGTAATAACAATGATAATATGAGCGATATAAGTGTTTGAAAAATATTAAAATAATACAATGATTAACGGCGATTTGGTAGCAACGGAGTGGTTAGGGGGTACACAGTGGAAAATCCACTGCGGAAGATCGGAATCCGATTCACTTTCACGGTAGAAAGAAAAAAAATTTCTCCGAGACAATATGTCAACGAGATTACGGTGAAGCTGAAAACGAGACCCGTCGTAAAATTGCGATAATTATATCGTTGTGCGCTTGGCGGGAAAGCTGGCGGCGTACGAAAGTTGTACCGCGGCCGGTGGCTTGACCATCGACGATCGCCGGTAGGTATGGTCTGCCGTACACGCGGTGCGGTAAAGTAGCTCGATGATTTCGTATTCTCCGGCTCCGGTCGGAAAGACGTCGAAGAGAGAATCGGCGATGAGAAGTGAGAGAGACGGACAGAGAGACAGTTAGAGAGAGAGAGAGAGCGAGGGAGACGGATGGATGACGTTGAACCGGAGTGATGGTATACGGAACACCGATGTCCGTGATCTTGGAGGGGCGAAGAGAGCGGTGCACAGGAACTTATAAATATTGGTCGGCCGGTAACCCAAATATCATTCGTATCTTTTCGTCGTGACCTTGGTCGTGCGTGCGTGCCATCTTCTTAACAGCGGTCTTCGCGCGGTACATTGGTAACAGTCCGTCGCGTCTGATCGCGCGAGCTTCAAGTTCAATCAAATAAAACACGCGCGCGTTCTGCCACTGAGCCCGTCGTCGGCCATGACCGGATGCTGAACGAGATCGAACCGTCGTCGTAACCACCCACTGCAACTGTTTGCGTTCACGTACGTGCGATAAATTCTCAACATTCGAAGTAAGTACTACCACTCGTGGTAATCATAGGCGTGCGCAGACTTCGATTTTCGGTCAAGCCTGGAACAATTAGTTCCCCTTAATACTTGGACAGTGCCCTTAATTTTTTTTTAACACATTAATCTAACTGTAAATTAAAAACTATGTAAATAGAATCAAGTTGTATGTGCACACAACATTAATTGGCTAATTTCTAGATATATATATATATATATATATATATATATATATATAAGATCCTTTTAACTGATCGATTTCTTACATTAATAATTATTAACAAATAAAATAATATATTATCTACTGTACTCATAAATCACTCGCAGTCTTGAAAATGTAATGTGTTTGATGAAAAATAATTTTTTATTGAACATTGACTTTTAATTTTTACCAGTTCGGCTTATTTACGAGTTTTTTCGTTTACTGTTTTTACAACCGTTTCGTTGACATGTTTGAAATATTTTAAAATAAATTATAATAATATCTCACACAATAATATAAATATTACTAAACAGTTAACACATTGCATATTAAACACTTAACACTGTCCTAACTTGACAACCCTAACTTAAAAAGATTCCGGTCGAGTCCGTATGCCAATGGTGGTAATCATATATATATATCGGTTATGCGGTGCTCTTGTACCGAGCGCGGGTCCCTGACGGCACTTAAACCAAACGCATTTCGCACACGATAATAATTCAATAATTTATGCTTCATCGAACGACAACATGAATATAATACTATACACGAATCCCCGTTATCGATGTTCAAATTAACCGGCGCTGGCATTTTTTTGTTAATATTTTGAAAACGACAATAATATATAAACATACCACTATCGGTGAGCCAATGACACGATAAAATTCGATATCAAATATGTTTATAATATTTTAATATCATTCGTGATTGCGAGGGAACATTCGAGAGTAGGAAACGATCCTCTAGACACGCAATACGTCGATAGTTTGAACACATTAAACTTAACACCAATGCAGTCGAACGGTCGAACGTCCGTTTGTGCTTAACAGCCTGTAACGTTATGCGTGTCCACGCGCGCATTTGTCATCGGCACACATAACAATATAATACCTTGTATTGTACGGTACAGTATAACAGTATCCTGTCTATAATACTTTGTGTTACTGACGACGGCCGGGTCGATGATACGTATTACGCATAGGTACGTGTGTAAAAAAAAACCGTAGGATTCGCGTTCCCGCTTTCTAATTTTTTTTTTTTTTTTTATTAAATAAAGCACAATTTAAAAGAAGATACAATTTATTATACGGGTATATTTACAAGTAGGTAAACCTTAGACACACAATAACGTATCCATAGCTCTCGCGCGCAAAGTATTCCGATCGAAGAATAGTCGTCGTCGTCGTCGTGAATACTGATTCACTTTTATTTTACTGACACACAAACCGTTACCGGTCGATACGACGCGCTGCACATCTTGCATATTTGTTACCTGCCGCCCGTCGCCACCTCTGACCGTCATGCGGATGTTGCGCGCACGCATGCATCGTTTTATGTTCCAGAAACATTAACCGTATTTCACTAGTACGATTCGTTGATATTATTTAATGGAGTAAACACGGTGTATGTGGTTTGGTACTTCTCAAACGCTGTACGTGCCATTATTTTGTTGTGTTACACGAACAACGCGTTCCATGCTCAAACATAAACCTTAAGTACGTACGTATATAATAGTTCTCGGACGTCTATAATAACAATATATATATATATATATATATATATATATTGCACGTTCTTAGGTGAATACACGGTTAAAATATGTACACGATATTATTCGTAGATCAATAATGAATAAATTATAGTGCCGTTTACACGTCGAATCGCCGTCGATTATTATTATCTATTATCTAACCATCGACGTCTATACCGTACACGCTTAACGTATAATATACACAACAACGTTACGACTGACGCCCACGGTCTATTATTATTTAACGCGATCCGCGTTTGGCGAATCGTGTTTTTATTACCGTTTTTATTTTTCCTAATTACGTTAACGAAAATAAAAACACTATCCGTTCACCGTACCGCGTTCTATACATGTATAGTGTTTTATTTAGTACAATCATTCATTCGGGATTGCCGTGACTGAATGGATTAGATAGCTGTGATTTAACCTGATATTCCGATCGCCAGCAGTTTTTTCCCTCGGAACTTTGGTTCTGAGAGAAAAAATCACCATCTCCCCCTTATCCAATTAACTGTTAACCAAAACACGAATTCCAACACTATTGTCTCGATATGAGCTAGTCCTGATGTACTCCTATCATACGACACCAAGTACAAGGAGCAATGAACCTATTAACGAAGCCCCTTAAAAAAATGATTCATTTCCGAATGCGAGATAAATTAAAATAAAACTTGCAAAAGTATAGAATTACAACGTAATCGTATCACAAATAATGAACACTAATTAAAACTTAATGTTTAATATACAAAGTAGGTAAACTATTGGACTAATTAGACGTAAAAAACGATAGTAACAGTAATGTATATACTTAATATCTTTCCAAATATAAAATTAAAAGGTTTTTTTCATCGACGTAAACTTGGATAAGTCCGAGATAATAATCCGATGAGTACGTAAATATTATAATCTACATTTTTGAAATCTTAGGCACGTTTTGAAAAGTTTTACTTAAACACGAAATTAACGGGTTGGTCGAACACAATAGACGGGTTAGAAGGCATGTGTGCACGCACCGATGACTCTAGTGTGTTTGTTTTTTCCGTTTGTTTTCCCTTCATCGAGTAATGGTTAAAACCAACCCAAGCATGCGAATGTATTTATCTAATAATATTCGCCTAGTCGTGCGTTCCCGCGGTATTTAGGACGTTGTTCAATCGAATAAGACGACTGCGATCAATTAATTACTACTTTGCTCACCACGCAGGCGTCACCGCTTGCCAAAACCGTTTGAAACAACCGTATTTATCGTACAAAAGGATCATAGTCGTTGTGGCACGTTAACGGAATTCGGTAAACACAAGCACTCACATATACGCAGGACATACGTGTTTTTCCATTTTATATTATTACGATCCGGTGGTTCCGATTAGTAAGCGAAAGCAGACTACAGACTTTCCTGCTCAAGCACGCGCGTGCGTGTGTGTCTTCCAGATAAACCGGATAATACATATAAGTCTATAACCGAACGAAGTCTCGCGCGCGCGGTAATTACATTAAACCACTTTCTTTCCGGCCGCACCCGAAATAATATATATAGACTCGTATACTGTAGGTATAAATTTTCGCGTGTAATATACAATTTCACTGTGGGTAAAACGTCACCGTGGCCGCGGTCCGGTCAAACCCCTGTAGCAGATCCAATGCCTTTCCTCCGATCGAGTTCTATCCGTTCGTCAATCACAATATCATAAATCGTACAGAGTTACATGTACATGTATTTATTGTGATTTCGAGATCGGGGCTTTCACTCGCCAACAAGACTGAATCGAAACTCATCTCTCCATATCCGACATAATCATGACGTACGCACACGTACAACACAAGACTTACTTGTGCGTTCATCATTGCCGCCGACGACGACAAAAGCGAACGCTTAATCCGGAATAACGAGCAATGACGCCTGTTGCGTAGGTCTCACGAATGTGTCACAAAATCGACTACTGTATAGGTATCCAAAATGTCAACGAAACTTTACCATGTATTTATCTCCGATCATCCGACATGTGAGCAAAATTACTCGACGCAGGATAATATTTCTTTTCCATCGTGGATAATCGTTCTAATATTATCTAATCAAATGACGAAAACATATCAATCAATGAGATCATAGGGTTTATTTTCGAAGCATTAACAACAAAATTTCGAAGTAGTATTTAGTATTATAACAAAGTTAAGAAAAATAAAACACAAGGACTTCTCCCCCATAAATAAAAACGCTTTCAGTGATTAAAATATAATAATATTTTATCGAATACATTATAATATATTTAATTTGAAATGTGATAAGGCTTTAAAAAATGCTTGTACAAAGCTTATTAGCTATTATGAAAGTCTTCGAGTACTGACGTACAAACGAACCGTAATATCATAATACAATATAAATTCATTATTATTCAAATGAAATATGTGGAAATAATTGGAAGCCCTAAGAAAGAAAATGTCTGGTTAAAGCAACGATATTGTCTCGAATCATAGATAATAACCGTTAACATTGAATTTTATTTCGCTAAACGAATGTATATTCGAATGGCCAAATGTAATGAAAATTGCGAATATCATCTGCAAGCGTTAAAGTCTAATGCGTTTGATTTTTTTTCAGATGAAGGTAGCGGTGACCGTTTTAGCATTCGTGGCTACCGTGGATCTGGTACTTGGTGGACCGGGATACGGTCCACCGCAACCGTTGCCGAGTCCGCAGAAGTACAGACCCCCGAACGGAGCACCGATCCCAGCCAAGTATCCTCCGTTCCCCGGCGGTCCTTTCGGTAAAAACGAATTCTACTCCAAGTACAATCCGCATTCGCTACCGCCTGGGTTGCGCGGACCGCAGCCACAACTGCCGCCACCCTTCGGCAAATATCCGCCACCGAGCAAACAGCAACATCATCAACACCAGCTTCAAATCCAACATCCACATCCGCAACAACAACAACAACAACAACAACTGCAACAGCAGAAATACAACCAGCCACAACAGCAACAGAAACCCCACCACGCTCCCAACTTCAGACCGTTGGGACCGCAATTCCAATCAAAACCGCATTTAGCTCAGAACAGTTTCGCCGTCCAAGAGCATGGTAATCAAGATCAGCGACCCACGGCAAAGATAACCAACGGTTGGACGGGACCCAGGCCGCAACAGCCCGCGGGACCGCCAGACTTCCCGCCGCGTTTCCCGGCCACGGTCGCGGCCGCAGCAGCGGCAGCTTCATCCGCTCACGTGGCGGTGGCTACGCCGACGCCGTACGCCGAAAAGGTGGCCAGACCATCGTACATAATAAACAGTGACGACGAGAGGGGTCCGATAAAGACCATACCGGCGCCGAACCTGAACCCGGCGGACAGGCCGGCCGACTTCGAGGAACAGCTTTACAGGGCGCAGCATCAGCAGTCGTACGCGCAGCCGTTGGACAACTCGATAACCGACGACAAACAATTGTACCAGGTAATGTCACGGAATCCGGTCGTTCAGATGTTTTAGTTTTTTGTAGAAAAACAATAGATTTGCCGCGATGTGACGTATCTATGTTTCGGGAATTAGGGTTCCGAGACCCTTTTTTCTTTTTAAATGAATATTTACTATCTGTACACATTTAGTTAATACAATAAATAAATCTTGAAGGCTTATAGTAGAAAACAAGCCGGGGCCCTCTATAATTCAAAACTCAACCAGATAACTCGAATAGGAATATAACTCAGTGGCGTCTTTTCGTTTTTTTCTTCAAAATATTAACTCGGCGGCTCACTTCACTGAAGTATCGATTACCGTGGAGGGAGTCAAACCAGTCGAAAAATATAACGATTTGTACTTATTACACAAGTACTCGCGTACAGTATACGTCTCATTTTTCCGATTTACAACGTGTCAATGGTTTTGTAAAAGACGAATTTATATTTTGATAATGTGCTGACTTTGAAATAGCTATAATCTCGGGTGTGGAAACTGTGCAAGAGTCCCCCCTCCCCTAAATGACGCCACTGATTTAACGTGAACTGGAATTTAACATATTTACGGTGAATTCAACAACGGACAATACAATACAATCAGGATTCCCCTGATATAATATGATATAATATTGAATATTACCAAAAATTTTACTTGTAAATTTTGAGCCTGAATTAAAGAAAAAGTTTGAGACAACCCTCCCCCCCCCTAGAAGTAAGTCTAAATACGCCCCTGGGTCACCATTCGATGTAAACATAATATTGTAATAATGTGTAACACAAAAAATGTAGTAGGCGAGAAATGGATCTCGCTAATCTAACTCGGCTAAAGTATGATGGACGCGTTCATGGGGAATAATCGAAATATTTTAATACTTTCTCTAGAAATTCGACAGAACTCGTGATGTGTAGAAATTTGTTGTGTTACGACGCGGAATTACACGATGAAAAATCAAAAATGTCGTACGTCGTACACTGATAAAAAAAGATCAAACGGAATTATAATAATGTGGCATTAAATCGAAGAGAAAGGACAACATGATTGTAAAATATGTAACAATTGATACGTGTACGTAAATACCGGGTACATGTAATATTAGCCACCAATAATAATATAATAATTACACGTGTAATGTTATCTACTACAGAATCCGTTGACAGTTGGCAGGTATTTTATTTTCAAATCCAAACGTTTGGGAACGGGTGCGTAAACGTGTTTGACACGAACGAAACGCAATGGAAAATATTTAATGACCGACGGATAGCGTATTATAACTGGTCTTATAAATAAAAAAAAAAAAACGGTTGACTGATCAAATCGTTAACTGTATAAGGTATGAACAGTTAACGATTTGATCGACTAGTACAAGTTTCCCTCCAATATTTTTGCCTCATAATCATAATTTAAAATATAAATTTAATGTCAACATATAATTTCTAATCTTCTTTTATTATTATTAATTCGTATAAGCAATACAATTTATTCATAAAGTAAAAGTGTCTTACAATTTTTTGATTTCTATTTCCACAATCATGTATGTTTCTAAATTTCAAATTACCAAATTGAAAACTGGTTATTATTAATGACATAAAACTTATTGTTTACCTACATTGTACCAATTATAATTACTCCGGAATCTAAAATAAAAACCAAGAAAACTAGTAAAGCTTTCCACAATTATATTATACGAATATTAGACAAATTATTTATCAGAAAATTATTAATATCCATGAGCAAAACCGCAAACTACAATCACGTTCCAATCATAAATTTCTACTCCCATTATTTATTTTATTACAATCCCGATCATCGTGACTACAAACTACCACGGATAATCGATTATACTACAAAAAGACACTCACGCAATGAATAAAAAGCATGAACATAAAAGATAGTATTAAAACTAATTTATCTTTTCCCGAAACAAAATTAAAACAACGTCCGTTAATGTTCACTTCAGATCACAAGCGTGATTTCAATTTTGACTTGGGGGGTTGAATATATGAAGGGCAAGCAGACCCGTGGGGAGCTTTGCTCTCCACACCCCCCACACCAATCACCATTCATTTTACCTTATAATATTACTTCATAATCTGATTAAATTTTTTTTATCTTCATTATTACGGTCGACCTATCACAAATTTCAAGTAAGGGGGTGTGACTTAAAATAAATATAATTTTAACAGCGTAGTAATACAATTATTAATTTATTTTATTATACCTATATATCAATCAAAATAAACAACAAATTATAATTGTAACCTTTTATTGGTCTTAGCATACTCAATTAGCATATCCTCAGCTTTAAGCTGATTTGATACTTCTCTTTCAATATTTATTATTACCAAACTGGAAAATCGCTCATCAAACTAATATTATACATTTAATTCTACAATACCAGTGATAATTTTTATTTTATAATTAACATAGCCATCTCATAGTATATAATATTATTTAAATATAAAAATAAAACAAAACTGTACACATTTATAATATTATAACATTTTAAATTTGTAGATTTTTTTGGAGGGCTACGGCTAAGTTAGGCTTAAGTCCCCCGAATTTGTGCCTAGGTTTCAGATACTCGATAATATCGAAATTATGACAAGAAACGTTTAGTGTAGAATTTCGGGGCTATCCAAACAACTGCTATTGTATTGATGAAAAAATAGTTTTTAAGAGCATTAAAGTTAAGAAAATAATTCATTAGTAAAATAAACAAAAACGTATTTTAAAATATATTTTTCAATTTATGTATCTACATTTTTATAATATTACTTGCCACGTGAACGGACAGTGCCGTCACAAGGATTTCCTTACGCCAAATTATATCTAACTATTCTAACTTGGCAAATTGAGGGCCCCGAATTTGTTTTAAGTTCGAGACCTTAGGCAATTGCTACGACAAAGCTAACAGGATTGGCGTATTGTTGGACTAAAATTAACTAAAGCGCTTCTTTTTATACCGCCGTTACAGGTAACAGAAGACCCGAGCGTGTACAAACCATTCAGCAGCCAACCGTCGTACTTTGCCCCAGACCTGGACGTCAGGACTACACCAAAGGTACCGTCTGTGGGCAAGGTGCCGTTGGACATCGCGCTGCAGCAGCATTTGGATAAGCAGCACCAACAATTTTCAGCCGAGCACGCCGGTGCCAACGGTGACACGCTGACACCGCAAGAGCTGTACTCGTTGTTGAACGGTAACCAAGCAGCAGCGGCGCAACAGACTGCTTACATGGTACCACAAACGGTAATGTACGCGGTACCACAATCACAGGACTTGCAGGTCGGCCACCAGCTCCATTACCAGCCACAGGGCATACAACTGCAGTACGCCGCTCAGCAGCCGACCGCTGCCGCCGCCGTCCAATTGCAGTACGCGCAGCCGACCGCCGCCGACCTGCAGTACTTGCAGCCTCAACCGGTCCAATATCAGCAGCAAGCGGTCCAATACCATCCGCAACCGGTCCAGTACCAGCAGCCAGCTGTGTCGTATCAGCAGTACCAGCAAATGTCAACGGGCGATCAGCACGGATCGCAGCCGACGGCCGAAAGCGTGGCGTACAATCAGCAACAGGAGCAGCAACAGCAGTTGCAGGAGCAGCAACAGCATCAACAGGAGCAGCAACAAAGTCAACAGGAGCAGCAACAGCAGTTGCAGGAGCAACAACAGGAGCAGCAGGAGCAGCAGCAGCAGCAGCAGCAGCAGCAACAAGATAACGATGTGCAGTACCAGCAGGAGCAAGCGGACTACGAACCCAGGAACCGGGAAAAGGACATAGCCGAGCAGCAGCAGCAGCAGCAGCAAGAACCGATAGCGGACGAGGAAGCGACGGTGCAGGACCAGAGCAAGTTCGAGAGCATTCGCGACCAGTACTACTCGGCGGTGCCAAACGAGCAGACGGCGGGCGTGCTGGCGCAGATCGCGCAGTCGGCGGCCAACAACGACGCGGCGACAGCGATTGACGAGCCGGGTCGCGTGAACGCCGACCAGCCGTCCACGCAGCTGAAGACCACGGTGCAGGTGCAAAAATCGGTGCCGTTGTACGAGGGCACGTACGCGTCGTCCAGGCGCACCAATCAGGAGTACGTGGACGAGGGCGGCGATAACGACGGCGAACTGATGATGGGCAGCGAGTCGGCGGTGGCCGGGTCGGACGACGCGTCCGTCAACGGGCACGCGCCCAGCCAGTTCCCGTACAACGCGGCCAAGATAAACGCGTTCGCGGCCAACTGATCCGTTCGCCGTGCCGGCGACTAAACGCAAAAGTCGCGCGACTGCAACAGTCGCGCCGACACGCAACAGCGTCATGTCATAATCGTTAGTGTTTACGTTCGAGTTCAGTTAATTTAATTTTCCACGCGACCGCCGTACTACGCTACTACGCGTTCGCGAGGCTTATTTATTATTTTTTTGTCGTAAGTTTTTGTACTGTTTTACGCGCAAACCCGTCGTTTTACTATTGTTCTCGTGTTGCTTACCTATACGCTGTACCAATAATATTTATTTATATATGTATATTATAAGCGATACTGTTCGTACTCCAGAATCGTGTTATTCGGTTTCACGGCTTGCCGCGTGATCCGGTCGAGCGTATTTTTATTTTATAGATAATTATTTAATTTATTGCATTTTTTTTTTTTTTACCAAATTTTATTGTTTATTGTAATATAAATGACGGTAATAATAATATGATACTGTACACGCGAACGATTGCTCAAAAAATATAATATTATCCGTTCGGTACTTTACATTGTATTTGCCACGTTAAACCTATTGCATACCTAATTATTTTTAAAATACCCATCTCCATTAATATTTTGAACGCCCCTCGGTGCTTATAATAATTTTCTTTTAACAATTTTTGTCGCGTGTAAAAAAAAATTTCAAGAAATCTTTGAGTGCCTAAAATATTCAACGCGCTTTCCACAAAACACTAAATCGGACTTGTCGATTTCTTATAAGTATTTAATATTATTGCTTTATACCTTATATAGGTACACGTGTACCCGTGTCTGATAATTTACTATAATAAAGAAATTATGCGAAATAACTCCAATTATTACCAGGGTCAGTTGTATAAATAATAAATATCCATAATATTTTTTAATATGTTTTAAACATAAAGTAAAATATACCTAATATATTTTGCAAATGTCCCATTTATGCAGAACGCAGGTAGGTGATTCATAAATATTAAATAAAAAAAATTAAACGAAATTACTAACTGAACATAAACGTGAACGAGTTCAATTTTTAAGTGAACGTTCCGTACACTGACTGTTACTGATATTACTAATAAAGATTTACCATCTATTATTACCTATACTACAGAATAGAATGAGCATTTTAAATACAGAACAAATATCAAATTATAAATAGATACTATGTAAAATAATTGTCTGTAATTGTCTTTTAAAAAAGACATCAGACAACATTGTGATTTGTCTAATATGATACAAGTTATCAAAACTATTTAGTTGTATAGAAGCAATTCGGAAATCAAAATAAATTTATCTATAGATTAAAACCGAATGTATTAGATTCTAGCAAATCGAAACTTTACATTTTGCATACCGTCAATAACTATTCATCATTAATATTAGGTACTCATTAATCACTACCAAATCTTTGAATTTAGAATCAAATTTTTATATTTTACCACTACCTACATATATATTACATAGATCATATAATATATGATTTGCTCAAACATAATTTAAAAATATAAAAATACTATACATACGAGTATTTGAACTTATACATAAAAAGATTATGTGAACATAAATATTTCCTTCAAAATAACTATTGCCAGAACAATCATATATTTATAATAGAAAACATTTTGAAAAAAAAAAAGACTAAAAACAGAACTTATTAGGGCTTAGGAGTGTGGCAGCGGAAGATAAAGACATTTTGTTTATGAGATTCAAAATGAGAATTAATGATGGATGATTATTTGAAATATCTAGACAATTATTTAAGAACTTTATTTTTCATTATTAGGGCTTGAAAGTTGATGACCTTAACATTAAAAATGACTTAAAAATTACAAATATTTGTTTTAAATTAATAAAAATACATTTTTAAAATATTTTACTTTATTTTACTGTAAGATTCTATATAAATTTATCAAAACTTACAAATTACTCAAAATATGAATTAAAAATTACAACAAATGTCCTTAACATATGAAATTAAAAAATTACAAATATTTGTTTCATAAATTTGTCAAAGTTTACAAATTACTCAAAAGTCAAAATAATTACATTGTAAAATTAAAGCGTATTTGATCTTATTAAGAGTAAATGAACGACGATTATCTGTTCATAAATATTTATATTTGGAAAATCTACGCTCCACGTCCACTGAAGTGATTGGAATGCACAGACGAGCACTAACCGACATTTTAACTTTCGTAATTTCGAAAATATTACCAAAACAACTATAAAATGTAGATATAATAGGTATTACTCGTATTCACTGTACCATGACAACAAAGCGGCGACTGTAATCGACGAGATAAAATCTAATACTAATCGAGATACTTATCGAATATTAGGAAAAAATAATAAAATATAGGTACAATCATATTCACTATAATACAACTACGAATGTAATCAGCGAGATGAAATCGGACAAATATTAAAGTATCGGACTATCTATTTCAAAAAGAAATGACAACTAGTGAACTAGTGTCAAGTCAATAAAAATGTAAAAAAATGACTTAAAAAGTAGTAAACACAAAAAAATACAAAACAAAAATCATTTATTCGGATTCACATGCTAATGAACACATTTGTGGCCAGGAGAACATCGCCTAAAAATTTAAAAAAGAAATGCACAATACATCAACTTTCAAGCACTAGTCATTATCATTAATATTATTTAAAAGGTCCTATATTTTTTAAACTCCAGTTATATTTAAAAACATGTAATCATTTTGGATTATTAACTAACAAATTAATATTAAAATATACAATACAATTAACTATAATGTATATAGAGTACTTAAGTTATAAAAAATAATTATTGAAATTTCTGATAGTTGAATCTACTGTTATGGACAATATTATTTAAGTATATCGACTATGGATTAGCTATTTTCTAAGGAAATATTAACTTTAATTACACTTTTATTATTTAAACCTTATAAAATTAAAAAAAAATATGTATAAAACATGATTTCTTTCAACAAAATAGTTAATTAATCAAAGTTTTATTATGAGGTAGTCTAAATAAATAATGAAATTAATAATAAATTATACACTACATTTTTTAAAACAATCATGGACTGAAGAATTATTTAGTATGCTCACATAATTTTAGTTAAGAAGCTGTAATACACACACACACACACACACACACCCATATATATATGAATGTCTACTTATCAAGTAGTCAAATTAAATGTAGAACACTATAACTTCATTGTTTAACAGTATATTAGAAACAATATAAGAAATTATAATGTAAAAAATATTATTTTTTTTAAATATGACATTAAGCATTTACACTATACTAAAAACCTATGCACCATAATTTTGATTTGTTATAAAAGAAATAATAATATATTATTTATTTAACAAGCTCAATGTATAAATATAACAAGTTTTCTTAATAAACCATAATTTGTGAATACAATTTTAGTATTGGTTTATTAAGATTTATCTCTGCACTAAACAAAACCAATTCATTCCATATTGATAAAATCAATGAAATAAAAGTAATATATTACACTGTAGACAATAGTCTTTACAGTAAGTTAATGATTGAAATAAGTTTGAAATTAAAAAAATAAGAATAAAATAAAAACAATCAAATCATAACTAAAAGTTATCAAGAAATAAAGTGGACAGAACTTGTAACAAAACACTAGGTATATAAGATCGAAAACCAGTATCAAAAAATTTATTAAATTCAAAATTAAAAACTATAAATATTATAATTTAGTACAGAATTATAATACTCAGTCGATAAATAATAATATAAAAATACATAAAAAATAATTTTGAAATAATTAGATTTGAAAAACATTGAAACTTTATACTTCATTTGATAGATGAGTTTCTCGGTGATTTAAAATATCTTTAATACCCGAAAAGTATTTTCCACATTTAGTGCATGCATACATTTTATTTCCTTTTTTTTTGGGTTGATGTACAGAGTTATTGTGTTTTTCCATAGCTTCTTTTGTAGGTAAAACTACATGACAAATATCACATTCAATTTCAAACATATGTTCCAGATCGATGTGTTTGTTTTTTGCTGCGTATGTTGTAAATGAACGATCACAATGATTGCAGCTAAAGACACTTGAAGGACTTGTGTAGTGCACAACCAAATGGTCTTCCATTTTGTCCATGGAATCGAAATAAGCATTACATTTGACACATTGAAACTCTAATGGAGTATTATTATGATGGTTGTTGATATGACGATCGAGACTCGATTTGTTAGAAAATTTTTTATCACAATATTTACAGATGTGAGTAGCATCATGATGCATAGTAGTATGTCGCTTTAGTATTCCAGGAGTTTTGAAATAACTAGGACATTCAGAACACTTAAAACTATTAATATTGTCTAAATGAGCACGAGCTCGATGACTGAGTAGAAGCCCCATAGATTCTGCTTCGAAATTACATACACCACAAATATAGACAACTTTGCCATTTTTCACAATGAGTAACGGTCTTTCAGTGTCTACATCATTTTCGATTTTAATTTTTTTTGATTTATTTTTTTCACTACCCAATAGAGCCTTATCTGAACTTCGTTTGAGATCAACTGAAGAATTTTTCTTTTTCTACAACAAACACATTAAATAAGTGAAAAAAAATCCATTTTTAAATATTTCTTTACTTACATTATTAGTATAAGAGTCTTGGTCATTATTTGATTTATTCATGATAACTTCTGACCTTTGGTTATCACAATTTATCGTCACTGTAAATGTATTTTCATTGCTATCATTGTATGGTGTATCAATGATTTTATTTGTATCACTTAAAACGTTGACCGGTTCAATTGTTAACTCATCCCCATCAACTATGTTGTACACACAACTATCACCTAAATGTACAGAAGAATCTTGTTCCTCCAAATCCAATTTGTACGTCAACTAAATAATAATTGGTTAAAGTTTATGAAATAAATTGATGACTAGATTAATACTTACGTTTAAAGGATCATCGGAGACTTGAATATAAGTGAAATTTACCTCCCTATGCACATTTTTAGATAATTCCAAATCACATGATATAGCTTTACTTTTGAAGTTGTAGGTTAAATCTAGTTTTTCAGCACAGGCCGTACAAATATTTTGAGGGTAATTATCAGATACTTTCACCTAAAAATCATAAATTAAAAAAAGTTTTAAATGTTCTACCATCCAACGGTAAAAATCTTTCATATCAAAAATAATGTAATAAACATATTAGTTGATGTTGTAAATAGAAAAAAAAAAAGAAACCATAAACGACGATTATAACAAAAGTCTAAATATGAATAATTGTAATACAGCTACTTAGCCTTTAAAAGTAAATAAATAAAAAAAAAAAAAATGAAATAAACAAATAACAATTTGTTATAAATATTGTCGAAAGTGACTTGTACTCATAGACAGATAATAAGTGAAATAAAAGGCTGCGGATTGAAACTATTTTGGGCACGTAGAATATAGTATTTTAGAAAATGAGATGATGTGCACGTACGATTAGAGATGTACAGTAATGAATTTTGTCAATAATCGATGTCGTCTTGTCACTGTGTTGTCCGATGGGCACAGTGACGTCAGTTGTGCCGAGACACAAACGGCACACGTCCGATTTATCTTTTCCATTTTCTCGTTCTTCCATATTGGAAACTCGCTCAGGCACAAACGATCTGACGTGCAACACGGTGTCTTGAACGCGAAATAATTAAAACATTTTAAATGGAAACAAAATAACCGGGACGATTACGAGTTGATATTATCTGACGGATCGGATAATCAATGATAAGTAATTGATAACGGACGGTCCCAGTGTGACCAACTGTGCAACGCAATACGACCAAAATACCAGGACTTCCCCCGCCCAAAGGCATCATCATAAAACTAATGTTAAATATTTTGGTCTCATAGGCAGAGCCGATGTTTCACGTGTGATTTTCGATTGCGATTCACTACAGTACTATAAGAAATCGGTATCTAACATGTAAGACCACCTCAGTGACCTATGAGATTTTAAACATCTGAAAAGTTTAACAAAAATAATATCTGGTTGTGTAATATTGTCTAAAAAGAAATTTAAAAAAAAATAGGATCCTAGAACGTTTAGATTTAAAGTACGTTTTCAATAATAATATTTTGTTTTTAACAATGCATCAGTACTTTTTTTTTTTATTGAAAAGAAAAAGAAGGTTTCGACATTGAAGGTCATTAACCTTGTGTGAATATTACATTTTAGTAGAATTTAAGTTTACAAAGTTATTAGTAATAATAAATAGATGTATAATGCTGTATAAACATTTTTTTATATATTCAATAACTTTTTTAATGCTTTCGACTCTCAATAACATATGGTAAATAGGCTTATTTTTAATTTTTCACTGTCAAACTTTAGTTATTACTATAAAGTAGTTAACCTGTATGAAAAACCAAGTTACAAATATGTATTTGATTAATTTTAAAAAGGATTTATTTTTATACACAACAACATTTAAAATAATATTTCTGTTTTGTTTTTCTTTTTATTCGTTTAATTTTGGATTTAAAATAATTGTTCAGGAGAAATGGTTCTGCTATAGGGAGAGGGCTAAAAACACTTACTAATGAAAGTTAGCGTCTTCGAACACAGAGGCATATTGATTTGAACATTGCTTTTTTTATTACTAGTTTTCATAGACGAAACTGACTACAATGAGAATAAATCCCGTGACATTATTGGATTTACAACTATTTAATCAAAGTTATTAGTAGAATAAGCAATAATATTTGAGTGTAATGAACGTCAGTTTGTATTGAACGATCACGGACAACTGATGATAGGGTCTAAACGTAATTATCTAATAATTTCTTTTGTCATCCATCGCACTTGACGTTTTTTTTTCTTTTCTTCAACGATAGAACTAGCAAGTATTGTGCGTATCGACAAAGTATAACAACTGTTTTTGAATTATTGATATGGTATATTGAACTGGTGTATAAATTATAAAAATTAAATAATACTATAAATCCGGTGAGGTGTGCTTAACGGTTGGGTTTTCCTAAGTTAGACGTGCACCGTGCATCCTATCAGTTTTCGGTTAATATTTATATAGTATTATTTCCGTTTGTTTTTTCTAAGTATAATAATAAAAATGATACAAAAATATTTTGAACGTATCATGAATTGTTTTATGCGCTTTCTCAATTTTTGTATACTTGTAGATAGATTACGAGAGACGGAAAAAATCATAAAAATGTTTTATACGTTTGTCACATATTATATTATGCAACTATACTTTATTCTTCACTACTCTTCATTACTTAACTCTTCATGTTAGTTTAACTGAAATTGTTTTTTTGAGCCTACTAATTCTCGGTCATTTGATTTACATGAACATAAATGATTTCGGAGTGTTAAAACATGACTCTTTAGGTATAACATTTTCGTCACACCTGTACCGAAAGTTTGGTTTTCGACCACGGTCGAAGCGTTGAAATGTTATATTTATCCGTCCAACGGGCGGTAAGGTGGGAATCCCACAGTGCGGGCGGTAAAAGTGGAAATTTCCAAGAGCGCCTATGTATTCCCAGCACAACCAGAAACTTAGACGTATACCACAATCCGCACAATTTCGGTTAAATCTTATACATATATCACAACCTCCTTGCTAGACGCATAAACATTTAAACATATTTCGTTATCACTGTTCCCACACAAGTGCGTTGGACGTTACGGATAAATTTGTTTTGCGCAATAATTCGAATTAGAAAATAAGATCGTTCGCGCAAGTGTCACGTCGCCGTTCAAATTATCTCATTTCGTGTTAACCGGAGCACCCGAAAACGGTGTCGGCGTGTGATTGAAAATTTTCGATCGGCGCGTCATCGCGGTACGATTATCACAGATCCGTGGACGCCATTACTGCCGGGACTTTTTTCCCTCGACACTTTCTCTGCGAACGTTCGACCCGTCGTTTTTTTCGTGCCACCGGCCGTGCGTTTTTGTGGTTGCGGTATAGCACGATGGATTCGCCATCTCCGGAGAAAACTTCGTGTGTGTGACGACTGTTCGAACCGTAGCTGACCCGTGTCGGAAATTTTTTTTCGGTTATCGTCGTGCGCGGAGAAGCCAGTTATTGAAAATCGAGACTGACGCCGCTGATCAACCGATTCTTCTGCCGGTTGTGGCGTTCATCGCACGTGAATACGGTCGCGTGGGCATAACCACTCGAACGCCGCACCGTCCAAGGTATGTTCCTTTATATTTGTTAAAAATATTATATTTATTTTTATAAGATTTGTCTTGTTATATTATTACAACGCGTTTGAAGCATATGTGATTTTATTGTTATTTTTAGATTTATCATATTTATTATTACTTTTTTTGTTAATATTACTGTTGCGCTTTTGGCCCGTTTATCCTGGCATTTGTTATAATTTCATATTAATTATACTTGTTAAGTGTTCTTTTTTATTGCAAACAACGGAAATACGTCACACAATCGAACCAATGATGGTTTGACTGCGGAGAGCGCAAACAAGCATAAATACGAAAGATGAAAATCAGTGCAGTAGTTGTAGTGAACCATTAACTTCACCATACATGGATAAAACGGCAAATTCTATTTCACTAAATCTATTGCCTGAAAAATCAAAAGAAAAATATGTAATGGCTTATGAAACATTTTTAAAACTGAGAAAAATAAATAAAACCAAATCGTTGTCGGAAAATGTGTTTCTTACAAATGTTCACAAATTATCTACAGAAACTAAACCGTCAGCTCTATGGTCTATTTATTCAATGCTTAAAAGCATGAAAAATATGAAACATAATATTAACATTGGTACTTATTTAAAATTACAAGTTTTTTTAAAGAGAAAATCGAGTGGATTAAACGTAAAAATTCCAAAGTTTTGACTTTAACCAATATAAAAAATTCATTGACGAAGCTCCTGGTATTCAATATTTTGTAAAAAGGTAGGTGAGATAAAATTGTTTTGTATATATTTGCTATTCATTCTCCGTCCATTTATTACGATATATGTAATATTCATTAGTGAAATCTATATTACGCATTAAACTTCTCTACTCAAAAACAAATTGTTCGCGATCATTTACTATTAAAGGGGAGTTATATGATATTTTTAAGAAATACAGGTATTTATGACTCACAACTGTAACGTCAGATAGATTTTTATTTTTAGTTATAAAAACGGTTAATGCATCAAGCAGGTTATTGAGAAAAATTATTCCTAAAGAAATCGAAATATATTTAAATTTACTGTATTCCCGAGCTGATACAGGTTATTTTTTTTGCTGAACTTCAGCAACATTACTTACCGATTCTACTGGTGATGTTACAACTAGTGATGGGAATAATCAAATGGAATAATCGAAATAATGGTAACAGACATATTTATCAAAAGCAAATCAATTATATTATTCGAAAAATTGCATGTTTTAAGAATTTCCCATTGAGTATTTAATTAAGAAGTCGACTGTCCATCAGTATTGTATTGTAATTGTTAAAAATAATAAAATTACCGAATTTAACGGAAATTTCAGGTACTTACCTATTTGATAAGGGATCCAGGTCTTATTATTTTTGTGAGGGCCTACCGGGATTTTCCCGGTATTCCGGTGAGCCAGTATGCGCCTGTACTTACATAACATAATTGTACCACTCAATTATAGAATTGTACTATAATAGCAATCTTTAAGTCATTGATTACATTTTTGATCATATGTTTACTGCTCGTAGGTATATTCATCAGAAAACCGAATTTCACGAATGACCTGTACGTATAATCTCGACATATTATGATAATTGTACATCTCACTGTTTTTGATCAATTGTTAATAATTAATTATTAATTGAAGTAAAAACCAATAATCATGGACAGACTTCTTTATTATCTTATAAGTATAATAATTTGTTTTTACAATTTATATTCATAAAGTACAATTTTGGTCATACTCATGTGCCCAAAAATACATCTTAATTAGGTATGCATATACAGGTTTATCCTCACTAAAGTTATAATAATATATTATTGTAATTTTTATTAAAACGAATTTCAAGATCTTCTAAATATGTTCTTTGGTAAATAAGTGTATATAATTTATATAATAATATAATAACTGGTCGGGTTTCTAACACAAAATAAATAAATTAATTAATACAATCATTTGAAGTCATGAAATGTCTACACAATAAAATTATGAGAGTTTATAGTACATTTAAATTGAAATAAGAAAAATTAATACAAAAATAACAAATAAAATGTATATAATAAAGATAATAATTTACATACATATAAGTTTATAAACATTTTTAATAAATAGAAAATGTTTTAAAGATTTAAAAATTGAAAAATGTAAGTACAAAATCACTTAAGTGCATTGATTAGTGCGTTGAAGCATCACTTATTGACTAGGGTGTGTTCGATTTAAGTTTAAAAATAGTATTCGAATAGGATACATAATATTACATTTCTACATTTATATATAATATATATGAAAACATTTTTATTATAATATAAATACAAATTCATATAGACATTGCACATATTTCGTCTCGGAGACAAGTCAGTTTTCTTTGGGCTTTCGTAGAACGAAAGTTCCACGTGGATAAATGTTTATTATAATATTTTAAGTTGTTACATTGTTTTTATTTTCGTAAATATAGTATATAATATTTATCATGAGTATAAAATTAAAATTAGACTAGAATTTGATTAAAAACAAAAAAAAATTCCATTGTTTTGAGAGAGAGCGTTTTATGAGCTTGTTTTGTTATCCTCGTTCGAACAAAAATTAAAGTACTTTACACGTGTGTAAAATAATAATAATAATAATCAAAATAGAAAAAAACAATTAACAGTAAACAATAGAACGCCGACTATTACATACGAACTAAAATATATTGTTTCTAATATTTGTTGGCTGTTACGCGATAAATGTTCGGAAAAATTGCAATTACATACTAGGCTCAGTTACGTTTCAATACTATTTTATGTACATTAAGTATTTATACAAATGAAGCTCGTCGTCGAACTTAGTTTGATCGATAAATATATATATATATATATAAAACATTTTTTTTTCGTTATTTTCGTCCAATACAATATAAAATACATCGGATCCTGTACAAATAACATCACTATTAATACATCTTTGGCTTACTATGAAAAAAAATAAAATGAAAAAAATGAACAAAATTTAAAAAAAAAAAAAATTGTGAACAAGTAAACGATGTCGCGTGTACTTTGATTCCAACAACGCTGCACACATAGATCATCGAAACGTGATGCAACACATTATTACACGTTGGACACGGGTTTCTCACCCGATAATAAGACGTACACGTGCACACAGGGTACGTACACAACACTATGTGTACAAAACGTAAGAGAGAAAACAAACAGAACGGTTTGACAAACATTCGTCGACGGTTTTTTTTCTGTTAACGATTACGCTTCCGTCACCGGTGCGATTTCGTGTACGGTTCACAGGTGCTCGCGGGACCGGCGGAACTCGTGTTCGTCACCGCGGCTGTGCTCGCGACTCGCGTCTAGCTGATCCCGATGTACGGCGACGTCACACCGCCCGGGTTGTTGGCTTGGCACGGCGACGACGCGCTGCCCAGGGGCGACGAGGCGCTGGCGCACGCGGCCGAGTTCGCCCTGGTGGCCGCCACCGGCGACCGGGCAGCCATGCTGGCACTGCTACCCGACTCATTACCGCAGATCTCGTGCGCGTTGTTAGTGTGGCCGCTGTTGTTGTAGTAGTAACGGTGATCTGCAAGCGAACCGAATAAAAATCTGTTGGTTAGTCCATGTTCGCTTTCGGACGTGCGTTTAGTCCAAGAATCCTGCCCTGTCCCCTCCTCCCATCATCCCCCACCGGCTAAACAGCCGAGACGACGCTTGTTACGCTCAGCGATCCGTTGGGTTACGACGGGATGGTGGTGGCGAACGGGGTCGATCAAAAGGATAGAAAGAGAGAGAGAGAGAGAGAGAGAACAATAGCCGTTGAATTTCATTACGACGGCTGCGTGTACCGAAAACATAATAGATTATATCGAAACGATTTCGTTCGGACAGTGTCGATTGGGTTTCGATCAAAGAGCCGGTGTTTTCTTTTTTTTTTCTTTGGACTTTTCCGAAATTGGTGGAAAGTTGTAAGCAGGACTTGACGGAAATAATTGAACTGCGGCAATGACGACCGTATCACTGCGTTCTCTGACTGCAAAAATCGTTTATGACCACGAGGTTTAAATAAAATGGCCGAGTTATCGAAAACTCTTATTGCCGTGTTGGGTCCGTGAAACCCAAAATGTAAACCGTCCGAATGAAAACATAAACTCTCATATCAATAAGGTCTTTGTGTTTATTTTGTTTTTTTTTTTTTAATCTGACTATTTTGATTCGTACGTTTGCGATCGATTTATCGATTTATTACGGTTGTAAAATGTACGGTGGTTTTACTTTGGATTGCATTTTGTATTACACACTACAATGTGGTCTACCTCCGAAACTGTTATGAATTTTCGCAGTTATATTCCACTCTTTGCTGTGATTATGTTGTTTATAACAAAGAAAACAGTTATTATCTGGTTAAATTGTAGATTATTTATATTTTATTAAAGTATCATGAACTAGACATTTATTATGTCAATAATCAAGTAGCCAAAATCATGTAATTACGATCGATGTTGAAATGAAACAATTCATACTTATTATTTTATGTATATATTTACGTTTAGTTCGCTATTTATAGGGGAGGAGAAGGAGGATAAATTAGAATATTTACATTGATGTTAATCTTTTTTATTTGAAATTTATTAAAATCCTATAAGATTTCCCAACTCAAGTAAACGGAACAATCATCTTTTCTATGTGTTTCTTGTGCTTAAGTGGTCTCACTGGACTACGTTGAATTAACATAAAAAAAAGAAGTCTATTGGATGAATATAATTAGATTATTATGACTTAATATCGTTACTGGAATTTTTCCACAGTTTACAGCACAAAATATATTATACCTTCAACCCTTCCCTACCTCGACCAATGAAATATGACCGTCGTTGACGGTTAAACTACTCTAATGATTTTTAGACTCCATGAGGTCATTATCACATTTGCGCGCACGTGAACCTATAATATGTACTTGCGAAATACCTACTGAGAAGACCGCTGGTGCCGGTGGTGCTGTAACTGTAGCCAGCGTACGGGGATGAAGTGTACTGGTTGTAAGGTGAACTCGTGTACGACGCGTATTCGGTTCCAGCGCCTAAAAAAAAATAAAAAGAAAAGGCCATAAGTAATTATACTACCGTTAAAACAGTCATTGACCAAGTGTACCGGTGATTATATTTTCGAGCAAACGTAAACTTGGCTCAATAGGTGTAAGTGATATATAATTTATTTTTTTTTAATTTAATTAAGAATGGGCTAGGAGCCAAATAGTACAACACAATTTTAGTAATAAATATGATATTAATGTAATTGTGAACTATACTCGGTAATTTTTCAGGCGCGATAAGATAATAATCGTCTTGTCCTCGCAATGGGAGACATTTCGTTCGCCTTTCGAATTCATATTCCGCTTCCATATTCTCACCCGAGACTACAAAACACTGTTTTGTCCACGAACCATATCGGGGCCTGAACGACTTATAACATACATCGCGTGCATTTTCTGGTCTAAGGTTACAACCATAAAGGTATTTACGGGCTAAGTTTACGATGGCTCTTTTTTTTTTGTTATTATGATTACTGCCGACACATGTATAAGCTGATATTTCAAAATTAATAATAATAAAAAAAAAGCGAAAACATAACACACACACACACACACTGTTTTTATATGCTACTGTTCACGTATGCGATAATTTGACTTACCTGTGGTGGCGTAATGCGTGGTGAAACCCGGTAACATGGTTGGCGCTGAGGCCGCGTACACAGTACCGTTGTTCTGGTTGTTGTTGGCCGGTTGCAGCACGGTCAGGCTCGACGGGTCGGGCGATCCGGCGGGCGTGACGTCTGCGGCCGACAACGACAGCGAGACGCCGCCGGACTGCTGCGGTCCGGCGCCGCCTCCGCTGCCGCCGTCGTTACTAAAACCGCCAGGGGTACCGCTATCTACGCAAGACAAACGAACACAAAGCGTAAACAAAAATCGTATTCACGGTGCGACGAAAACCGCCGGAGAGAAGGAATTAGGCGAACTAACGTCCGGGCACGGTTTTCTTCGGCCGAATACGGGATTTGAGAGGGGGGGGGATGAAGCCGTATTGTGCATTGGTAAAGCGTCATCTCCACAGGGCTGTTTAAAGGACCCGCGGTCATGAGATCTGTTGATGACATCGCGACCGACTAGTCGTGTACGATTACAATGCGATCGCGGTGGCACCAACGGAACGACCATTGAAAATAATTGTCAAACCCAACTGGCAGACCGTCGATGGACTACCGCGAACGGATAATCACGTGGGGTTCGATTGATCACACGCTTTACCAATGTTGACGAATGGGGAGGTGGAAAAATTCGAAAAACAAAACATAAAACGCTACGCTAAAAGATAAAATAAAAACGCCAACACACAAAACGCGAGCGTCGTTCATGCCGCGTGAGGGACTTACCTGTGTGATATTGGACGGGCGACATGTGTGAATGGTCTAAAACCGTGCTGGGGCTCATCTTTTGGATCTCTTGCATGGTCAACGGGGCCAAGGGAGTGACTCCGCCTACTGGAAAAACAATGCGCTCTAACTACGGTCTTTCTAATCCATGCACGTACGCGTCTACGCGACGGCATGCCATGCGGCTACTTCGACCGCTAAAGGTCCACGGGACTTACCGAGCGTTGTGGGCACGGGCGGCGTATAGACCGGCGTCGAGTTTTGAGTTGGTTGTTGCGGCTGGCCCATGGTCTCGTACAGGTCAGCCGACAGCGGGGTCGCGGAAAACGCTGTCTGGTTGGCGTCGTAGAACGGCGACGTGCCGCCGCCGGACGTCACGCCCGCGTTCAGCTCCGAGAACAGTTTGTGCTCGTCTTTCAAACACCACTTGCCGGGCCAAAGCTGAAAAACGCAACGCACGTACGCGGTTTAACGATGTGTGCAACGCCTCGCGCGATATTGATGTATCACGTGTGTTGTTTTACGTCGCTGTTAACGTTCTCAACATCACGTTTGCACGTCTTCGCTCCGATTTCGTGACAACAATCCGTGGGGGAAAAGAAAAAGAAAATTACAGTCCGGAGACCGTGGTCCGGAACTCGGGTTCATAACGTTATTTTAATCTTTCGGGTTGTTGCTATGCAATCGGAACGTCGACGCAGTGTACTCGGTTAAAGCGAATGCTTACAGATACATTTGAATACAACGAAGTGTCGCCGTTGTAATGCACTTGAGATCGCTCTCTCTTGATTTGCAGGCTGTCTGAGTGACTGTTCAGGTCTCGGTTTTCGTCTAAGGGGAAAAAAATGAAAAACCGGTAAAAAATACGTTCGCTACGCGCGGGGCTTTGAAACAAATCGCACGTTTTGGGACCAGGTTGTCTGTCACACCGCCGTTCATGGGTTTCGATACAAAAAGTATCTCGTTAAAGTTGTACTCGCGCGATTACAAAAAAAAAAAAAAATAAAAAATAAAATACCCCCGCACTCGTATCCCGGTTCCTGACCCTTTCGGGATATAAAAACACCGGCTACACAAATATTCCCCCGGGGTCAAAGAGCAGATTGTGTTTCGCTGCTTATTACCCCGTTCCCGTTGGGAATATGCATTCAAAGCTTTAAATGTCAAACTAATATATTGAATTACGCGAGTGTTCCCCTCTCGCCGGCGGAGCTTCCGAAAACACACGGGCCCGTACGCTTAATGTTGTCAATTCAACATAAATCTGATTGCTCGCTCTGCGCGCGCCTAATGGTAATGGGTTTTCGCGGAATAATGATCGATTTCCATTGGCTGTTTTTAAATTCGTCAAGTCAGCCGATGTAAATTTTTTATTTTTAAAGTGTTCGCCCACCCTCCGCTGATTAAAAAAAAAAAAATGAACCTAATAAAAAGAAGGTTGTTAATCACGTTACACTATTCACGCGGAATCACCTGTACTGAGTAGTGTAAACAGGTAAGTATAAGCAATATTCCGTGGACGGGAAAATTTATTTTATCTGGTTCATTTTTAATCTCATCCGCGACTACAATAACGGGTGCTTTATAATATTCAATGCATGTGATCGATCGAATTATTTCACCACGCATTACAATTTCAATGCTCTCTGGTATATATATTAATCTATGGAACTGTACGTGAGATATTGACTAAATACTAAATTCCTCGAACGTAATGGGAAAATTAAATGGCATGCCTATTGTGTACACACAACCTATCCCAATATCAACTCGTCGTTTAGTATTTTTAAATAGGGGACCGTTTACAATGTTATCTGACCGACAATGGACAGGCAAAAATTATTTCCCTCCCTGAAAAATCGTGATAAAACTTCACACATGAAATGCCACAGTACATTTTTGTTGTAGGAAAATACGGTTCGCGTTGATATCGCCGCATGGACATGGGCGTATGTATTGATTTAAACTCTTTATCGAAAGTATGTTTTCACAACATTTATAAACTTCATATTATATATTTTTATTTTTTGACTGGTTATATTTATTAGCAACATAGTATATATATATATACTGTTAATAACATTAAAATACAGACAAAAGACTGTGCTGATATACGTAGACCGTGAAAGGGTTGACGAAGACAAAAGGCATTTTAAGTTTGTCAAAGTTTCTCGAAAGTGTGCGGATGTATATAAATGTATAAAAGGACCTTTTGAATATCGATGGCGTATCGCCGTACAAAGTGAGCCTAATACGTCGAAAGGAAAGGAATGATACGAAAGAGAAAACCCTTTACACGGATACCCGGACAGGGTGAAAGGCTTTTCATTCAGCTATTCAATTTGCAGTTTTCCTACATGTATCTTCTAAGGGAAAATAATTGTAGACGCTTGAGGTAGGTACCATTTGACAATAATATTCGACCCACGTTTTATAACCCCATATTATTCCACAAATCTAAGGGGATTAAAATAAATACAATATTGTTGAGCGTGATTTTCCTTTCCTTAGTATCCTGACTTTGTTCTAAAATGTATATAATATATTTAATAATATCTAATTGATTGTCTATGGTGAACAAATAATTTATGTTTGAAATTTTACGGTAATTTATTATAGTGTTCAAATTCAAGGATAACTCAGGTCATTGTCATGTTTTAACAGCAATTTACGACTTAAAGTGCCATTCTTCAACGATTTTTTTGTCTTGGTTTTTTTTCTTATGTTTATAATTGCATAATTTATTTTTATTTTTTATTTTGCTTTAAATTTTCAAGAAAAAAAATTATATATTCTAAATATATGAATAAATTAAAAAGATTCTAGATACATTATTACGACAGCCATTATGAATGTTTACAACTCTAATTAGTTAAAATATAAAAATGTGTGGCCACTAAAATAAATCATGTGATGGGTAAATATTTTAGTGAAATGTTTTAATTTTTAAAAACTATTCGTACTTGCATTATTTTATTCCACTTGTCAGAAGTATAATGTATAATTGTACAACTCATATTTTTTCCTGCCTCCATTAGGGAGGAAATAAATTGTAAAACTTAGTGATAATTTTTTTATAAGAGGAAATGTACTAAAGACAATAACAAGAGGCATGAAGAAATTATTTTTAGAACCCGATCAAACTTTTGAACATGAAAAATAAGTATGCTGGTCATTTTAATAAAGTAAAAAACACGCAAGAAAATTATTTGGAAGAAATTGTATAGCAAGATAGAGAGTATATAGCTGGTTTTTTTTTTTTTTTTGTGGTCCAGGTTTAACGGGAGAGAAAAACTGATTATTGGATAAAAAATATCGCAATAATACGTCGAGTGAAAATTTCAGAGAAGGAAAAAACCGGATAACTTGGTAAGACACGGTGGAGCAGAACAAAATCATGAGGTGTGTATATCTGTTTACGGCAGTGCTTTCAAGTGGGTAAGGTGGCTTTGCAGTTTAGACGTCTCAACGTGGTATACGAGTAATAATAATAACGTTGAAGACTTTTCCGACGCAGCGGCAACGCACTTGGGTGGAAAGTAGTTTTCTGCTAACGCCGCCGCCACCGCCGTTGGTGGGGAAAGGATACATGTATATATATATATATATATGTTTGTAACGGTCGACCGGGTGGCGGTTGTAGTGGAGACGGTGGAGCCAGTGGCGTGACAGTGGCGGTGGCGACGGCAACGGTATAAACTTATCGGAAAACGTACACACACACACACACATGAATATATATATATATATATATATGTGTGTGTGTGTGTGTGTGTGTGTGTATGTAGAAAAGGAATACGACGAGGGAAGGATATATACCATGTATATAGGAGGAGAGTGAAGTAAAAGCTTTCGAAGGATGTCGCCCTCACCCGAAGGGACGGCGCGGGCCGGACAACTATGGCGGTGTAATGGAGCGTTGCTAGGTAACAATATAGCTTGTAGAACTTTTCGGTATCCCCTTCGCCGTCGTCGTCGTCATCGTTCCTTTCTTGCCCTACCGCCACAACCTGCCACGATACCGCTATTTCTTTTCGTTAAAAACTCGTCCAGAGAAAACACACATGGCTCCCTGTTCTCCCTTTCACCACCACTCTACCCTTCCCTCCCGCTACTCGAAATACACATTATTATTATTCGCGTATTCCGACTCTGGAAAACCGTGAACGCGGTTGCGGTATCGGAATGGAATAATTGTTCCGTGATCACGACGACGGTGTGAATACACAACAACTTAACGACCCTTACCCGTGTGATGGTGATGTTGTTGGTGATGGTGGTGATGGTCCAAGTCGCGTTTCCGTTTGGCCGTGGTCACGTTACCGTTGGGATCGTGTTGCGGTATGCCCAGTATACCGTTTATGCTATACCGGTCGTGCAGGTGACCGCCTCCGCCACCGCCGCCGCCGACGACGGTCGACTGCTGCGGTGCCGGCGCGTGGGCAATCACGGACACCGGACCGGAACCTTGCTGTTGCTGTTGTTGCTGCTGCTGTTGCTGTTGCTGATGGTGCTGTTGACTCGGCGGGCCCGTGCTTCCATTGCTATTGCTATTCTGCTGGTGGTGCTGGTTCTGCTGCTGGTTGTGCACGTGTTTCGCCTTCTCGGCCGCCTTGTTCCGGACGATCCTGTGAAAAAAAAAACCTTCATGTTCTTATCCGTTCGGTAACCACGTATACGGTAACCATTAACCCGACGTGCAGCATATTTAACGGTTCGGAAAACATTATTGACGTCGTTCGGCCGAGCACAGCGAAACTTTAGCGCGCGCGACGCACGGAATAATACTCGCCGAGTCAAATACAGTTTTGAACTGTATGTGTTCGCGTAGCGTATTAGCCGTGGTGGATAAAAACTCGGAAACGCTCTACACTATTGCACGAGCATTCCTCGGGGACCGGCAACTTTTAAACTTGGGCCGAAAGTTGTGCGCGCGGGCACAATACTCGCATAACCGTATTAAAAGCTTCGCGGTCCGTTTGTCCAGAAAGGCCCAGAAACAATGTACAATGCGTATACCTTTTGACGCAGTAACTCCTTCTATACACGCGCGCAAAAGTTTTCCGAGTGCGGAATTGCGTTTCTCCGATCCTCCGACCCTCCCCCACTCAACCGCACCGAATAACAGTGAACCGAAAAGTATAAACGCAACGCGCCACCGTACACCACCGCCACCGCTGTTGTACGCGCCTGCATTTGATTAGACGATGTTCCGCACCGTATCGTTCGCGTTATATATGCATTTCGAGTTTATGCGCGCGGAGGGAGGAAATTCGTGTACATAAAGAAAGCGTGACCGAGAGCGGTTGTCGGGAGGGAGGAGGGGGTGAGAATAGAGAAAACATTACGGCGGCAGTTTGGTGACTTACGAATTAAAAAAAAAAAAAGAAAAAAGCGCCGAACTAAGGGGTGCGCGAGAGCCCATCGAGTAGATTAATAACTTAACGCAATAACAGTTATGGTAATTGTCATAAGTCCAGGAAGCTCGGCGCGCACGTGCCCAACCCGGTGACGGGCACGTGCCTTCTCTTCCCGCGAGTCCTTTTTCCCAAACTAGTTTTTAATACTGTAACGATTCGCATTAATCATCGTCCCGCAAATTTATTACGGTCTTTCGGCGGTGGCGGCGGTTGCGACGACACGACCCTCGCGCGCGTCCTACCGCCGCGGTTGAGACAAAAGCCGTAATTTTTCTCATGTACATTCCGATTGACAGCGAATTTAATGCACGTTCCGTCCATTGTTGTTCGCATGGCGAAAAATATCCTTTACATTTTACGGCAATTATTATACGACCGTTTCATAACAAAAAACGCTAAATCATTAACTATTGCTTTAAAAACTATTGGACCGCGGGATTTCGCTTATTATGATAATTATTTCGATTATTATTATTACGATTTCGTTTAGCCGTTTATTGTGTTTATGGGTACGTGTGTGTGTCCAACGCAATGAACAATGGCCGGTTTAGACTTTTGTTTTTGACAATCATACATTATTCAGCTGTACACGTTTTCCCAAAAATTGTTACGGGCTGGTAAACAAAACGGGTCGGAATTAAACGGAGTTACTTCTCACTGTTTGTTTATTGACAGAAAATAACGCGTGACCGGACGCGTATCAACAGGTAAGGTTCGAAAAAAAAAAAAAATAACAATAATACAAAATCACCCTATAGTAAACATTTAATGGTTTACACTTCTAATGAATTAATAGTAAACATTAAATTCAGCGCTTTTATTTGACTTATAGTGAATTAGACTGTTAAAAAATTAAAACTCTCCTATTATGGTTCGCTGCCGTAGTAGTAATATAATTCACAATCATTATTCGAATAATAATCATGGTTGCATTATTTTAAATGCGTTACAACATTGTTGAGAAATAACATTGTAATGCAAATAATGCGAAAGTTAATAGTTTACATTTTGTATTTGTGTTAATGTCTTTGTTTTTATAATTATATATTTTCTAAGTGCATCAATTATTAAAACTATGGAAATGAAACGAATAGTAAAACGGCATAATAATGTTCGTCTTCGCAGCCTCTTTGACTGTATGTAAATTATTAATCTCTATAGACCAGTGGCATTTTGAACTTATGAATTTTCGGTGAAGACAAAAAAATATGTATAAAGTAGCCCTCCACTCTCACTGACGGGTTTATATAATCCATTAAAGCATAAAATGTACACGATTTATATTTACAAAATATGCCTATATTTGTACAATTGTTCGTAATTCTTACGCATACTAGTTAATGTATGATACCTCGACGATGTAGTCTTACAAGTTACAATATTGAATATTATATTATTAAGCCCGGTTTGCTAGTACTCGCCGTTCTACCCTCAAATTTTGAAAACCAATCGCTCAAAACTAATACACCTTTGCCACGCCACTGCTATCTGACACTGTGTCGTTAAAATCAGATAGGTTTAAGTTAGTTCCTCTATGCAAGCGTTAAAGGGACGGACAAATGTTGAAAGCCTGTATAAGTTAAACGTGTCATCCACGTACGTTATTTGTGTGTATATTATTATGTGCTCGTACAACATAATAATGTACGCTGCAGCGTCGGGTATCAATAATACGCGTTTTTGCGAACGAAGTTTTCGCGTGGGTTGAACCGCTGGTGTTCATCGAGTGTATAATAATAATAACAATAATAATAATAATATAAACTACTGCAGAGTTAGGGTCCGTGTCATCGACAAGAGGGGGGCACGTACTCATACTTACGCACATGCGCGCATGTCGCTCGTCCCTGTCTCTCCCCTTTTTTTTATATTTATTGTATGAACCGCGTACGCGCGCGTTTATTGTGCAAATGGCGCATTGATGGAGCGAAGTCGTTTGCCGTTGCAGTCGATTTCGTTGTCGTCGTCGTACGAGTACTGTATAGCCGTCGCGTGCACGCGAGAAAAAAACGCATAAGTCAAACCGACTGCATAATGTACTCGGAGTCCGGAATCGAGCGGTGGACAATGCGATCCACAGCAGCGGGGAGTCCCTGCCGGCAGATGCTCTCGCGCGCATCCAATGTGTCCCTGCCAGGGCCGAGCCGCCGGCGTACATTATAAAATTATTACTCTGCTCGTTGTTCCCGTGCGCGCCGGAGTACCTACCTACGTATACGGCTGCGCGTGCGAAAGTAGCGAGCCGCGTGCACGCGGCGGCCAGAAATTGACTCTCCCGATCAGCATACCCCTCCCCCCACGCTCTTATCACCTGTGACCCACTCGTTTTTCCGTCTACTTATAAACTTCACCGAACACCATTACTAGCCAAGTTTCCTGCAAAAATGACTAGCGACAAGGTCCATTTTTCGCTTCGCAAAAGACGCGATTGAATAGCTCGAGTATTCCGCGGTGAAAAGATTTTAATGACGGATGAAATGCTTGACGAACGAGATCGGTACGATTTAGATGCGAATGAATAAATGTTAGGCGCTGATACCGCTAGTTATTAAGAACACGCGCGTTTAAATTATTTTCACCTACTGTACGGTATACGGTTCAATGATTGGGAATGATTCACGTGTACGAATATCTTTATCGGGCCGATCAGATGTTTTTTAGCTGAGAAGAGTGAAACCGGTGGAAATTTAGGTTACCTTAAGACGCAAAGTAAGTGGGACGCTTGGTTCGTATTAAACCACCCTTTGATTGATTTCAGGGGGGGTGCGCCATCACGGTACACGGATGCACGTGTACGTATAAACGTATATTTCGCGATGACGACGTAACACTACCGTATGAAAGACACGATCGCTTTGCAATGTTCGCCGACCGTGTTTCCGCGCGGTAAAAAGTTTCACTTGTAGCAGGAAAACCGGCGCACGTTTCGCCCGAGAAAAGCCTCTCGAAACGCACGAGCTGACACGCACGCGTAGTCGGCATACGGCGAGGGGCCGGAGCGAGACGGGGTATGTGTAACGCACTATATTGGTTTTCCACTCCCGGCGTTTATACCGTTATCAATATAATATTGTATATTACAAGCCGATTGCTTGAAAGCTGGATGCGATTCGTAAAAGATTATTACGTATCGACAGTTTTTTCACACGTTTCAAATGTTTGTAGTTGGAATTGATGAGTGTATGTGTGTGTGTGTGTGTGTTGGTAGAAAAGAGATAAGTTTTGATCAACGCAGTAAAGACGTATAAATTGAATGATGGCCTCGGGTTAAACGAAATCATATGACCGTTTGGCTCACGATCTATAACTGTATCACATAATACTATACTATAAATAATTAGTTTTCTAAGTGCATAAGAAATATATAAAAATAAAAATGTATTATAAATTAATATATTATATTATATTATATTATATTTTATGTTAGAAATATATAAAATATATTTTCTTAGTTTCTATATATTTTATTATTGTTATTGAATTGAACATTTATTTTTCCAGCGGGGTTTATCGGAATAATTATCAGAAAAAACTAATAGATAAATAGAACAGTATTAAATTACCATCGAACAAATAAGTTGAATAAAAAACATAAATATTAAGTGGTAAAACAAAATTTTAATAAAAGTTATATATTCTTTTAGATAATACATAGTGTGTTCCGATTTTTACTTAAAAAAAATTAGTTCAATCTCCGAACTTCCACATTATACGAGGAAATAGTTTTCCGTATACTGATAAAGTTAAACGTAAATGTTCAATGACTTTAAAACGTTTATTTTCCTCTAAAAATTAAGCCGCATGAATTTTAAGTCCCGATGTTGAAACGTGTTTACCGTTCTGTAAAGTAACAAATGCAAAGTTTTTCGTACAAAAAACCTCCAAATTTTATTTCATAATGGCATACTACATTATAATACGCATGTATTATGTATTATCGCTATATCGCAAAACTTTATTATTGTTATTTTTATCGTTTATAGCGGGTTTCATAAACTTACAAACACATTTTAAGTATAAAAAAATCGATATAAATCCGATGTATCGGCTGATGTAGTGTACCAAATAAAAGTCAAACGGTCGACTTCGATTAAGAATTTTCTTGGGCGCGTTTTAAGGCGTGAATTGTGTGCGAACAAGAGAAAGTAAAACCAAATCAAACAAAGCCACGATATTGAAATCGTTTTAATTGACAACGTAATTATTAT